TTTGTATTTTCTCCAGTGACAGGAGTGAAGCAGTTATCCCTATCACGAAATGTAAGTGAGTACCAAAAACCTCAGTAATTGAGAGAAAATATTTTAAAGAAATATTTTAATTAAAATTAATAGAAAAATATATTAAGAATAAAATATCAAAATTTTAAATAAAGATGTGATCTTATAGGTCCAGGATTAGCATGAGGTGAATGAAATGTCATGTAAGTGCAGATTAGATCTTGGTTCACAAACATATTGACGATTTCAGCTTGCAGGACAAAAGGAGGAGGAGGATAGACTGAGTCACTATTTAAAAATATGAAAAATGTTCATTAAAATGGACAATTGGACCTCCAAAAGAATAAACTAATCTAAGGATTGAGTGTTCTCATAAATAAATAGCTTCCTTTGGCATGTGTGAAAGAGAAAGAGATAGAGTGAGAGAGAGAGAAGGAATATGAACAGAGAGATGGGTATATATGTTGAAAGTTTGAATTCAGGAATGGAAACAGTGCTAGGAGAGTATCGATTAAGTAGTAAATTCTTGCTGTTCAAACAGACTTACAGCTATCTCACATTTCTTTTCCAGAGGGCAGGTAACATTTTCTTTATCATGATCATGATCATCATAATCATTGTTACTATTAATCGGATGATTACTGCTTACCAAGAACTACATTCAGAAATTAATCTTGTTTAATCATCACAACAATTTTGTGATGTACATGTACTAATATTACCCCATTCATTAACTGAATTTCAGAGAGAATTAAATGCCTTTCATAAAGTTTTGTACTTGGTAAAGGATTTTAGGCACAATAAAATTTTATCCAGATATTCCTGTAATAATAACAACAAAAACAATGGATACCATTATTGAACAATTAATGTTTTAAGCACTTTTCTAAGCATATTATCTCGTTTAAACTTTATAACAGCCAGGTAAGTATTATTAACCCCAATTTTACTGAGGCTTAGAGATGCATGTATGTCTGTATGCTTATATGTGTGTAGACCAAACATACATATAAAGAGAGTAAAAGAGAAATATACATATGAATATACATATGTGGGCATGGATATGCAATATCTTAGTATTTACTATGTGAGAAGGGTTGTATTGCCACCAACTCTTCTGGTTAAGCTATAACTTTTATCATTATTTTTTATTTTTTTAATTTCAGATTGATATGAGAGCATAAATGTTTATGTTACATCATTTTTATTTCTAAGGAAAGTTCAAGTTGTAACTGAGCCCTTCATCCAGAGGGTGAAGAATGTGTTTCAACTCCATCCAGGTAAACACAAAAGATGTAAAGTCTCCATTTTTTCCTATGGCTGAATAGTACTCCACAGTGTACATATACCATAGTTTGTTAATCCATTCAAAGGTTGATGTGCATTTGAGTTAATTCTGTGTCTTGGAAATTATGAACTGAGCTGTAATAAAAATTCTAGTGCAAATGTCCTTGTGGCAAAGTGTTTTGTTTTGTTTGTTTTCTTCTGAGTAGATACCTAGTATGGAAGGTCTCCTTTTAGTTCTTTGAGAATTCTCCATACTTCTTTCCATAGAGGTTATATTAGTTTGCAATCCCACCAGAAGTGCAAAAGTGTTCTCTTCTCTCCACAGCTATGCCAGCAACTGCAGAGTGATCTACAGATTTAATGGAATCTCTATCACAGCACCAACACCATACTTTGAAAACTTGAGAAAACAGTACTTCATCTCATATGGAACCAGATAAAACCCTGGATAGCCAATAAAATTTTAAGAAATAAAAATAAATCTGGAAGCATCATGTTACCAGCTTTCAGGTTATACTACAAATCTATATGGTACTAGCAACAAAACAACATGATACTGGCACAAAAATAGAGATATACATCTATAGAACAGAATAGAGAACCTAGAGACGAATTCATCTACATATTGCTCTCTGATCTTTGATAAACCAAACAAAAGTATTCACAGCAGAAAAGAATCTCTATTTAATAAATGGTGCTGGGAGATCTTGTTAGCCATATGTATAACACTGAACTTAGATCTCCACCTCTCACCACTGACAAAAATTGATTCTTGCTAGATAAAAGATTTAAATTTAAGACACAAAACAATAAAAATTCTAGAGGAAACTGTAGGAAAAAAAACTCTTGACAAAATTGGCCTGGAAAAAGATTATGAAAAAGACCACCTTGGCAATTGCAGCAATACCAAAAATAAATAAATGGGACATGATCAAGCTAAAAAGCTTCTGCACAGCTAAGAGTACCACATCTAAAACAGACAGCCTTCATAATGGGAGAAGATATTTGCATGCTATGAATTTGACAAAGGTCTGATAACTAGAATTACAGAGAATTCAAATTAATCAACAAGAAGAGCAAAGTACCCCATTTCTAAGTGGGGAAGAGATTTGAACAGAAACATCTCTGATGATGACAGACAAATGGCCAACAAGCACATGAAAAAATGCTTATTGTCCCTAATCATCAAATAAATGCAAATAAAAAACACTCTGAGATATCACCTAACTCCAGTAAGATTAGCCCACATCATAATACTTTTATCTTTATTAACTTCAACTGTTAGAGCCCAGCTTTATACACAAAGCTGCCACTTTTACAAATAGGGTCTTCTAACAGCATGATATTAGTTTTTATCTGACTGAGTTCCACATACTATAAAGATCTGAAAGGTTCTCCTTTAGAGATATTACTGTTATAACATATGAAAGCTAGCAAAAGCTGCAAAACCAAAACTGAAGAAGACTCTTGGAACCTAAATGGAAAATATTCACATTTTAATCTCAAGACTATGATAGGTGTTTTTCTTTTATTTTATCAGAAAATATGTGTCATTTTTCCATACCAACAATAAATTTTCCATTCTCCAACACCAACTGGGCACTTTGTAGTCTCTGCTACCCAGGAGGATGAGGCAAGAGGATTGTTTGAGCTCAAGAGTTTGAGGTTATTGTGAGCTATGATGGCAAGGTACTCAACCCCAGTGAGACTGAGTGAGACTCTGTCTCAAAATAAATAAAAAATAAAAAAATAATTAATTAATTAAATTTCCCCTGGCTTGTCTTCTTCAGAAAGCTTTGAGAAGAACTGATGAGACAATTATTACACAGAATTCTAATTGCCTTAGATAATGACAGACATAATACTTTATGCATAAATATGTTTGGTACAGAAAAGTGGGGAAATTTGATTAAAACCCTGCTTGAGGCAGAAAATCACTAGTAATCCTGCCTCTTTATTACTGGAAATACTCTAATACTTCTCATTTTCATTTCCCTATAACACATGAGGAGAAACTGAGATGAATTTGAATATTGGTGTATTAGTTTCCTATTGCTTCTGTCACAAATTATGACAAACTTTGTGGCTTAAAGAAAAACAAAACATACATTTATTATCTTAAAATTCTGGAGGTAAGAAGCTCAATATGGGTTTCACCGCACAAAAATAAAGATCTTAGCAGTACTGCGTTCTTTTCTAAATCTTTTTACTTGTTTTTTTCCAGATTTTGGAGGCTGTAATTCCTTGCCTCATGGCCCTCTGTCTTCAAGCCAAAAGTATATATAGAATCATTCTCACTCATCATCATTCTGATACTGCCTATCCTGTCTCCATTTTCTACTTTATACTGAATCTTGTGATGGCATTGGTCCCTCCCATATTATCCAAAATAATCTCCTAGCTCAAAAATCCTTAATTTAATCACATCTGCAAAATCCCTTTTACCATATAAGGTAACATATCCCCAAGTTCCAGAGATTAGGGTATACACATCTTTAGAGAACATTTTTCTGTCTACCGTAACTGGTCCTTACCTTAGTAATTAATTTACTGTGACTGTACACAGATATTCATCTGTATAAATTAATCGAATGAATTCACCCAGTGAATGTAGTTGGAGTAGATGAACCATTATAAAAATATTCCTCCACAATTTGTCCTAATAAAAAGCAAGGGTTTTGAAAATCATTTTTCCACTTAATAGTGAATAGAAGCTGAGCTCTTTTCTTCTACTACAACTATTCCAGGTACCACTGCCATCAGAGTGTCTCTCACACATAAGGAAAATCCAATCGCACTATTTATCTTAATATGATTTCTCTTCTCAAATTTACAGTATGTGTGTGTATAAATATGTATACATATTTAATATGAAAAACAGAGTTTATGCATAGCTGGATAATTTCTGGACAACCCCTTTACCTTTTATACACACACACACACACGCAGTAGAAACTCTGTAGCTGACCAGCTACCTACACTGACCACCTCCATAAGTTGACATAATTTTCATAGCCCAGATATCACCACATGTACTCAATGGAAGATTAACCTCTAGATATTGACCAAATATGTAACTTATATCTCGATCACTTGGAATATGGTACACAATATTAATTTACCCTTCACAACTTGATGAGTTCAGCCCATTCTGCACCAAAGAGTAGAAGGTGTAGGTTTTGCCTTTTAGTTACATTATTTTATTTCTTTCATACCAGTTATTTTTTCATGTATTATTATGATCATATGTTGGATTAGGCCTAATGTTTTATTGCTTTTTGTGTGTTGTAGAAGATTTTTCAATATGAAGGACTAGTTGAATTGTAGGTAAATCCTACAATTACCTAAGAATTTTATAGTTAATAAAGACATGCTACCCAAAGGAAAGACCTAAAAGAGCTCACATTAAAAGAAAAGGTTGAAATTCTACATTTTTAGATGGCAGCAGCCAAAGAAATACTGTGGAACATTTTGGTATTAGTAAGATCACAGTTAGCAACATCCAAAAATGTAAACATGAATACTTGGAAAGATATGGTAGGGAAGGCAGAGACCTATAGAAGAAAAGAAGGAAACCTTGCCTAGGTAAAGTTAATTAATGAGGTTCAAACAAAGGAGGGAAGTTAATTCCTGAATCTCCAGGACAATGATGCAAAAATTTGCTAAAAAATTCACATGGGAATTCACAGTGCCAGATTTCCAACCATTGTGTGGTCAGCTTGAGAAATTTAAACTCCAACACAAGATCTTCCAAAAAGTCTTGTGTGGTGAATCCAATGAAGTTCCAGTAAAAGTTGTGGAAGAGTTCATCAAAAAGTTCTGGGACTTTGCCAGAAACTTCCAAGATGATATCTTTAACACTGATGAGTGAGAACTCTTTCAACATGATGACTTAAAGAAGCCTCATTTGTGAATGGTGACAAATGAAGAAACTTTCCAAATATTGTTTCATCATTTTAGCTTTCACTAACTCAACTGTAGAGAAATTAAAGCCATTGATGACTGGTAAATTAGCAAACCCATGTACATTCAAGAACCTGAAACCCAAAGAACTCCCCATCATTTAGATTGGACAAATGTGTATGGATGATTGGTACCCTATTTGAGGAGTGGGTTAGGGGTATCAACCAAGATGAAGAAGAAGAAACAGTACATTCTACTGATAGGAAACATCTGTCCTGGCCACCCGCAAGTGAATAATCTCAAAAATAGGTCACTGACATTTCCGCCTCCAAACATGACCTCAAAAAATGCAACCTACTGACCAAAGCATCATTAAAACATTAAAACATTTAAAATGCACTAATAAGCCAAACTCTTGCAGTGGGCCATTACTAAAACACAAACCTGTGATCTACCTGTGGAAGCAACTTCATATGCTTCATTAGCTAACATGTTAAATCAGTTCTGCTTGGAATAAAATTCAGCCAGAAATGATACAGAATTGTTTTAAGAAAGTTGGATTTGTCACAACCTAAGAATATGATGGTTTGGCCCCATCAGACACTCTATCTCTCATGGCAGAATTCAAAGGAGCAGATTTTTAAGGTTTTGTTGCAATGGCTGATAAGGCGTAACTTGTAATGAACTTAACCTAGAAGCAATTTGCCAAGCAATATTGACTGAAGTACAAACCAGATAAAAAGTGCATGAACCATCTGATGAAGTAGAAGAACCATATGAGGATGGCACAGATATTGCAGAGACTCCAAAAGAAGATGATGTCAGGCATCTTATATTGCACTTGAAGTCATTTACTGTGGAAAAAATGCCCAGGTATACTGAGTGGTATAGTCAGCATTGAAACGGTTTCTCCACTAGCCTTTGTAATAATAATAAGAAACAGACCAATAATAACTCTCTTTTTCAGAAAGAATGATTTTGGTTAATGTATTAAAAAAAGATCAAAAAAGATGATGGTTAATGTACTGTTTTTGTAAGATGCTGTATGGATGATTTTACTGTGTTTTGATTATGTATGACTTCATATGGTATTCTCCAATAAAAGCTGTATAAAAGAGTAAAGTACATGTGTATATATTAGTACAGTAGACCTAGTTCCTTATGATGACTACCTTCGTAGTTTGATCAATTTGTGGCACTCCCTTGGGTGATCAACTTACAGAGGTTCTACTGTGTGTGTTAGTATGTATGCATACATACATAAGGTGCTAAAAATATAGACACATTTTAGACAATGAAAACTATATTAAAATTGTAATACTCAAGCTGGCTTCTGTAGCTACAAGACATGTAAGATACAATGTACAAAATAAAACATTATTCATGTATGTATTATTTTAATAGTTTTTTCCCTTCTTAAAATGTGTATACATTTTGGGGACTATATATATATATGTGTGTGTGTATGTACACACAAATACACATGCACATACATACATGTCAGCAAAAAAGAACACAGGCTCTGCAAAATAATTTTAAAAGGTTTATTCTGAGCTGAGTATATATGACCATGGCCCAGAGCCAAGCCCAAGAAGACTTTAGCAGGTCTGGCCATGGTTGTGTTATACCTTGGTTTTATACATTTCAGGGAAACAGGAATTCCACATACAATTATAAATCAGTACATGGAGAGCACACATTCATTAGGTCCAAGAAGGTAAGTTATCTCCATGTGGAGGCTCACAAAAAGAATGTGTTGAATTGCAGCTAAGCATATAATAAAGATGTTGGAAAAAATAAAGAAGTATCAATGGAGAAGGTCAATATTTTAAAAGCTATGAAAAAAGATGTTGTCATTTAATAAAATATTAAACTTACTGGAAAATAGGTCCACTTCACTTAGAGGATTCTATAGGTCTAAAATGAGAGTTTATCAATAAATACAATTCCTTACGCAAAAAAATTTTACACTAACTCTGCTTTATCTACTGAGGCAGCAATATTGTCAAGAAAAGCAAAATCATCAATCAACAGAATAATAAGCAATTACTCTGCATCCTCAATTCTATGCTAAGAATTAAAGATATATATGATAGAGTTCCCTCTCCTAATATATTGATCAGAATAAAACCACAAAAAGACAACTGTCAATATGATGAGCCTCCCTCATGAAAGATATGTGCAATAAAGACAATAAATGCTAAAGGAATTCAGAGGTAGAGAGAACTGTCTTACCTAAAGTAGGCAGGAAAGACTTCATTAGTGAGGAGGAGTAAGCAACGGGTAAGACCAAGGCCTGTGAAATGGGGGAAAAGGATAACTCAGGTGGAAGAAAATCTGTAAGCAAAGACACATAGGTGGGGATAAACCTGGCATAGACATGAAGTTGCTAAACCCAATGTCTGGTCCAAAACATGCCTTTAGTGCAGTGCAAAAGCACTGATCGTACGCACAATGATTTTTAGTACATAAATGAACATATTTATTCAATTGTATGTTTTGTTGCCGTATGGATCTCGTGGAAAAGCAATATCGTGGAGAATAAGCATGCGTATTAAAATTGTGTTTTAAATAAAAGTGACAATCTGCTCACTCAGGCAAAATGGCAAGCTTCTTTATTTGTGGTTGGTTTATATAGGGAATTTTGTACATGTGCACAATAGAGCAATGACCTCATTGATCCATTTAAACATCATGTGACTACCTTGTGATTAGCTTCTGATAATCCACTCAACATACCTTTCAACATAACCCAATTTAACATAACTTAATGGAGAACATGTTGTTAACCATTACTTCTTTGTTCTTATCTGATGATGCCTGAGGCTATGGAGGAACAAAGTAGATTGAATATCTGCCCTTGTTGGCCTTGAGGTTGGGAGGCTGTTACTTCAGATCTTTAAACAAGGCATGAAGAAACTTCTTGGGCATACAGGAATTTGTGCACAAACTTCTGCTCCCATGTAGGCCTTAAGTCAGAGAGTTTTTGCTGGAACGTTTTATAAGGAATTTTCAGGCTGGACTTCTCAAAAGCCTTTCATGAGCCCAAGTTTCATCTGTGCCATTAGATACCTGTATGCATTGGGTAAATTCCTCTTTTCTTAAGGTCCCAGAGCACATTTCCATTCCCAGACTCGTCAGCAAGCGACCTTCATTACTTACCACAGATCAGGAAAGGTTACTGATGGGTATCTGGCTAGTTTTCCAAAGGGCTTTTTTATTGGCCTTATAAAATCAACCTTAATTCCTTAACGCAGTAAATGCTATTCCAGCTGAAGCCTTGGTCATGTTAGGCTCACAACCAATCTGGCCACATGGGATTCTGCCTCAGTTTCTTATAAGTATGCCTACACAAAGTCTTTTCACTTCTCTCTCTCAAACGGGCTTTTTTGGCCAGAGGCATATAGGCATTTCACCTATAATGTATATGTACTAATATATAATAGAAAAATAAGTAATTATCCTATCACTTTCATAACTTCATACTTATTATAGTTTAGGGTAAAGCAAGTGCTTTATTCATACATGCATTCATTCATGCATCTGCTAATTCTATCAGCATGTATTCATTGCAAACTTGCTGGGAATGGGAACTGTGCTGCAATCTGAGAATACAGTAGAGATTAAAAAAACATAGTTCCAGATGTCAAGGAATTCACTGTATAGTGAAGAAGGCAGAAAATTAACAATATATTATTGTGTAATGATACAAAAATGCACAAGATATTGATAGAATATAAAAAGCCACTTTACTCAGGTTGGGAGAGTTTTCTGGGGGTGATTAAAGTATTTTAGGAAGGTTAATATGGACATTCTGGATAGAATGGATTGCAGAGATCGAGACAATTGAGAAAATGCTTGAAAGAACCATGGGGATGAATGTAAAGGTATGAAACTCTAACAGAGACTTAATTTTACAGGAAATTAATTTTTTCAGCAAAAATATAATTTATTGCCTATACTTCATTTTTACTTTATATTTATTATTTATTTATTTATTTATTTATTTATTTGCAGGGGCCTGGTTTGACCCTGTCACCTCCAGTATATGGGGCTGCCGCCCTACTCCTTGAGCCATAGGTGCCACCCTGCCTATGCTTTGTTTCCAGATACAGCATTCATTTTTCTGAAGGCTGAGACTTTATTTACAATATAATTGACAGTGACCCAGAACGCTGGTTAACATTTCAACTAGTATCATTTTGTTTCTATGTTCCTGATTATCTAAAATCAAGGGAATTGGTACTGGAGATGCAAAACTTACTTTAGGATTTAAAGGCTTGAAAGAAGTTCTGTGTATTTACTAAAACATAGTCACTACTTGTATATCAATTTTATGAGGAAGACATATTTACTTAGTTCTGCATTTCACTCACCAGGCAATTATCTGAGCCACTACCTTCTTTAGAAAACAATGAGGTTGAGTCAGCTTTAAATCAGTAATCTCCAGGACGAAATTATAATAATACATCCTTCACTGTTTCTCTAATGACTTTTTTCTTTTCTCTCTAATGCCCTTTTTACAAAACCTGTGTTTTCAACTCCAGAAAAGTAGAACAAGAAGGAAAAAGCATTGTTGACAAAAGAAGACTGAACAAAGGATGACTGATGATCCATTTATAATACTATGTCAAAAAACATAGTTTAAGAAAAATGTAGTGGAATTATAAGTAAGGCTCAAAATAAACTTTTTGTATAAAATGAAGATTTTAAATAAAAACCATCTTAACTTCACATTTTAATTGTGACTTGAAATATGGCCTTTATAAAATTTATTCATGATTCACTCTCAGTCTTGCCTCCAATTAGGTGTTTTGAGGCTAAGTGAATAACCTATGCCTCAGCTTAGCTTTCTGATTCATAAACTACATTTTAAAGAAGTCATATTTGGAGCATATACAGTATGGTTCGCAAACCTGTTTATGATTTTGTATGGCCAAGAAATGGGAACCTACTGCAAAGCCACCTGGAATCATTGAAAAA